TCATGGCTCTTTGAAATCTACCTTATGAGAAGTAGCGCCGGCGTTTCCAGACGCGCCGGCGTCGCCGCCGCCGCCGAATATTTTTGACGTTGACCACGCCGCCGCCGCAAAGCCTGTCGGCGTAAACCTCTAATACATACATATGCTTCAAATATAAATAAAAGTAAGCACACAGCTATTCATCTAGCAGCATGCGGCGAAAACCTTTTTGTAACTGCTTTATTTCACTTTTTATATTACAACTATGTAAGTTTGCACGAATGTATATATGTATGTGTTTTTGCATATCGAGTGATGACAGCGTAACAGTATCTTAGCGTCAAGCTCTGCGCACCGTTCCTGCTATCCTCCTCCTCCTCACGCAGTCAGTGTTATAATGCAAACCATGATTCAATAATACAAGGTTAGATAATTATTAACAGCTGCGGTTTGACACTCCCTTACAAAAGGTTGCATTTACGAAGGACGGAGAAAGGGGAATAATGAAATCTCTTGTTGCGAAAATGGTAGTAGAAAAGTACGCAAAGTAGGCAATTAGTAGTCAAATTCCTTTTGTAAATTCTAATGTATTTGCAGGAAATCTGGCATTTTAAACGAAATGTTGAACGTAATATTGATATATCTACGTGAATTACGCAATTTATGTGCTATTTAGCTGTATAAAAACTGCAAAATGACTCATTAAGATAAGACTACTATGAGATTGATGTAAACATCCAATTTAAAAACAGTTTATGTTTCGTCAGTTAAATATGCTTCATATGCATACACAAATAAACATATTGCACAAAAGCTTATACTTCTATTTCACACCAAAGGTACACTGTTTCCATGTAAATTTGCAAAGAAGCAACACGGTGCCACTGCTAAGGGAGCGGTGCGAGAGAGACAACTGTCGGTTTATCAAACCTTGTATTATTGAATCATGATGCAAACGATATTCGCTTATAAACTTCGTCCTCGATGTGTCCTTGCATTGTTGAGTGTTTCTCGCAACACTACGCTCATTTTCTATTACAACTTTAATAGTCGTTCATTCTTTTTGCCCAACTCGCTTCAGTGTGCGGCTTTCCCTTGGCTGGCACTTCTTTTTGGCGTTATGTGGAAGTTTTGCTTTTTTGTATTTCTTGCTTTGTTACACAACTTCGCTCTGCATTTTTCAAAAGTTCGTCTTGCGTTTTCCCTGCGTCTGCATTAAAATGTTTTATAAAATATGCAATGTGGCTTTCTTCGACCCGTTTTTTTTCTTCTTCTCTTTTATGATTAAAGTTTTAAAAAATTTAATTCTATTGACTTTGTGAATATAATAATTCTGGCAAAAAGTTTTCAAATTGAATCAAAGCGTTTGCAATGGAACATGGGCGTAGCCAGAACGAAATTTAGTGGGCCCTATACAAAAAAAAATAAAAAATTCAAAACCAATAACTTACTAAACAACTTTTTATTATAGCTTAAAATTATTGTAGCCAATAGAGGTAAATATGTTGTACAAAAACACATAAACACAAGTTCACAAAAGTTGATATAAAACTATTCGCCGATTTCAATAGTTAACTTTTTACTGTGCATGTTTATTTTACGAGGAGGAAGCATCGAAAGCCTAACCCCGTCGGTGTGAGACTTTAACCCAAACTAAACCTCCTACCGTCATGTACAGTTCCCCTCCCGGTACCATCGTCAAGGATTTCGTCGGGATTACAACACTGTGTGACTGATAAAGTTAACAAAGCACGACAGTCGTTTCTCTTCTGTGCCCACTAACGCCAATTGGAAATGACAAGTGAAGCCAGAATACTTTCAGAGCTGGAGCGTCGGTGTCCATTCGAACGACATGTCGTTGTAAAGCTCCTACAACTCTTCGTTCCATCGTCTGCGGTACTCGCCGTTGCCAACGCGTAAAGGCCCGTAAATCTTCCGCCAAATCTCTCTCGAAGACTCCAAGATCCACCTCATAAGATGTTGTCATTGTCCATGCTTCTGCGCATTCTCCTGAATTGCTTACTCAGTCCAAAGTAGTACTTGTTGGCGAGAGTGATTCTGTGTTGGATTTCCATGCTGACATTATTATTATTATTAATGCTGGTTTCTAAGTAAACGAAAATCTATACTTTCTCCAAATTATAACTGTCAACAGTGACGTGCGTGCGAAGGCACGAATGTGCTGATTGTTTGTTTGTTCAGTTCTGCAACTCTTATTATCCTCTCCATCAGATTAAAGAAGTCACGTGAAAGGAAGTCGCCATGTCTGAAACCCCGTTTGGTGGCGAATGGCTCGGAGAGGTCTTTCCCAATTCTGGCAGAGCTTGTGGCATTACTCAATGTCATTTTACACAGCCGTATGAGTTATGAGGGGTTGCCAATTTCAGACATAACGGTGTATAGGCCACTCCTTAGGCTTTAAAGTCGACAAATAGGTGGTGACTGTCGATGGTTTTATTGCGGGTCTTTTCCAAGATTTTACGTATTGTGATTACCTGGTCTATGGTGGATTTTCCAGGTCTTAAGCCACACTTACAAGGTCCAATCAGTTCATTGACGGTGGTATTCAGTCTTTCACATAATACATTCGATACGGCCTTGAAACCTATGCCTAGAAGGCTGATCCCGCTGTAGAACACTGGAAGTGTGCCTTCCGTCTATCCCAACATGCTCGATTTGCTGTAATTACTTAAGATGTAAACGTCTTCGCTGCTCACGAAACCAGTCTATAGTTTTATCAATAATCTCAGATAGGTTCTCTGGTACAAAACTTTCGATGTACTCTTAGAAGACACAAACCTAAAGACAAAGTAATAAACAATTAAACTATAAATTTATTTGTTAGTTTAGCATTCAATCCATAGTCGATTGCAGCCAGGCTTTTACCCTTCTTAAATGGAAGTGCTTTGAAGTTAGCGAGAATAACTTGATACAAAACCGGATGATCCCCACATACACTTTTTAAATCAATTTACTAACTATTTTGTTATTTATAAACGAAAAAAGCCGAGCAACTGTCAAATCAGTCCACAGGTGGATTTAATTTATAGAGAAGTGACCCATCTGTAATTTAAGTAATGGCCTAGGTTTAAATAGTTAAAACAAAAATTAAACAACTCTGTAAATAGAAAAATAAATATTCTATATAATGGTCAAGTACGAAATCGTCTTTCGCCGTTATTACTTATTATTTCATTAATTGCCCGAATTTAGTTCTCAAATTATCTTGGTACCGTTAGGCAAGGTTATGCAGGTTTTTGCGTAAGTTTAGCATTAACTGGTCTAATATTGTTACACGCTTGCGTAGATATTTTGATGAGATTTTAATAGTTTTGTTTTTTATATAAAATGAGTTCTTCACATATTTATCAACTCGATTCGCACGTCTTGACCTTGCTTGATATGGGGTATTTCTGAAATATAACGCGGCTCCATGACTGTCATAACTTTTTATGTCACTTTTGATATAATCACGTAAGCCTGCCTCGCTCTGAAAACAATATATTTTTACTGTAATGTTTTCGGATGGTACTAGCTGTTACTGCCTATGTAGGAGTATTACATATACATATACCTACAACGTTGCCACTATCAGAAGAGGCTCATGCTAGAAACAGGGAATGCAGAAGGTATCGACTAAAGAAAGTTGGAAAGTTGTGGAAATATATCAAAAAAAAAACTTTTCCATATTTCGTGAGGAATACTCGTTGCACCACGAATTATAAATAGCATAAATTTTAAAAATCAAGAAGGTTATGAATATTCAGAAA